ATAATTAAAAAAATAATTTACTAATTAAAAAAGACTAAGATATTAATTAATTACATATATTAAATTAAAGAAGTTGGCCAAACAACACAAGTAAAGAAACTAATTTTATATTTTTAAAATTAAAACAAAAAAACAAAAAAACCTCTCCCGACAGCAGGTCTATGCCAGCAAATATTTGCTGGATTAGACCTCTCCCGATGAAAATTAGCTCTGTTACGAAATTTCGTCGAAAGAGGTCTTATTCGGCAAATATTCGTCGGGAGAGGTTTTGAAATATAATATATATATATAAACTTAGTGTCTTTAGCTGTTTTTTTTCAAATTTTCTTTAAGTAATTAAATAATATCATAGCCTTATTTATTTAATTTCATTAGATTTTATTTAGTGAATAATTAGTATTAAACATTTTAATTAAGTCCACAAATTATATTACTTAATAAATAGCATTTATTTTTTATTATTTTCTTTTATAAAATATTTAAATACTAATTATTCACTAAGTAAATAATAATTAAAACAAAACTACTAATTAAAGTAATGTAAAAAGAGAAAATCCAAAGTTTGTTGTTTAAAGAGTATAGCCGGGCGGCTATACTTATAAAATATTCTACTTAAAGGTTTCTACAGTTTATTTTGCTTGTTGTACCATTTTATGTGCGTGCCTCTAGTACTTTGGCCAAGGGTCGTATGTCGAACAATGTGTGTGACTTGTGTACTATTCGTTCCTTTGGGGTGCGCTGTAGACCCAGCCCTAATCCCAAAATTATTGAGGTTACGTGGCATCCCCCTTGCTTTGGTTCGGTCAAAATTAATACTGATGGCACTCGCAAAAGTGACTTTGGTAGTAGGTAGTGGTGGTGGGTGTTTCGAGATTATCATGGTTGTGTACTTAGGGCATTTGCTCCAATTTAGATGTCCCTAGTGCAGTACATGTTGAAGTTTAGATGTCATCAAGGCCATTAGCTTGCTTGGCTTCACGCCTGGCCATAATGTTTTGGATTGAAACTGATTCGTTATTAGTTACTCAATTCTTTCGCTCTCCTCATTTGGTCCCTTGGCACTTGCGATTTGATTGGCAGAATGCTGCTTGCATCGTCTCCAGTACATGTTGTTTAAGATTTCTCATATATTCGCAAGGGTAATCATAGAGTTTGACACTTGGCAAATCATGATGTTCAGGGCTGTGGGTTCACGTGGTGGGACATTGCACCTTCATTTATTTTGTCTTCGTCATCGGGACCAGCTGGCATGCCCAGTTACTGTTTTACTTAGTCTCTTTTTGGTTTACTCCTTCAAAGTTTTGGTTTTTTGGTCGCAGGTTGCTGTGCCTTTATGTCACTGTCTTTCTTTTTCTGCAGGGTTTTGGTTTGGTTCCCCCCTGCAGTACGTGTTTTCTTTGTATTTTCTTTTATATTAATGAAATTATGATCAGGGGATGGGCGGGGCTCTCGAAAGGTGTTGGTCCCTTCTTTGAGGGTTGTGGATGTTTGTGCATTCATGACCGATACTGAAGAGCTAATCTCACCTATCTCTTGTTCTATATTTTTTTTACAAAAAGAATACTACCACCTCTTACCTACTATACTCATACATCTTTGGGTTGAAATTGTTGTTCTGGCTGGCAAAGAGATTTCGAAAGTTCCACTGTCTTGCATTATTGTTACAATTTGTGTTACAAAGAGAAATAATCTTAGCTCTCACATTCTTTCATAGTTAGTAAATACGGAATGGGAAAAATACGTACGTGATTTATTCGAAATTTTTTTAGCAAGTTACAACTAAAAAATTCGGCAAACTATATAATATTTTAATATATAAATATATTTTATTCAATATATGTGAAAATTTTGTGTATTATTGAAAAATTTTGAAAAAAAACTTGTGTATAACATGATATATATATATGTACATGTACAATACATATATTGTATGTTTGCTTTTTTAAAAAATATATGTATTTTACCGAGTCTTTAAGACGTGTACAGAAAAACGAAAGTATTATTGAAAAATACGTACTTACGTATATAATACAAGTATTGAATGGGAAAATGCTAAATTATTTCTATGGGTAATAAGTAAAAAGTCAAAAGGGGACAAAAAGACTCGGGTATGGCATAATAGTAATGGATAATGTTCTAAACTACTCTTATTGATAAGGAAAATCACAGAAAATATAAATTTTTTTTAAAAAAGTACAACCGGTCGGCTTTACTCTTTAAATATATTATTCATGGCGTACAGCCGCACGGCGGTACCGTTTAAATAAATAATATATTTAAAAGGTATAGCCGCACGGCTATACTGTTTATTAAATAAAATTAAAAAAGAACCCGCCTACCCGCCTAGGCGGCCTACTTTTCGAAAACTTGAATGTCGTTTGTTTTATATAAAAGATTTCTTTTTTTCCGATCGGGTCTGTCATCTCTGCAAATACTCAAAAATGGAGATCATCCCTCTTGTTGGTGATATGAGATATGAATCATTCTTGGACAAATCAAAGCAGGACATGGCCTCTTCTTCAGAGTTGGTGCTGGGAAGGTCATTGTTCATCAGCTCTAAGCCACTCCTTGGTTTCCATTAATTAGGGTGAACCTTGGGAGTTGCCTGGATTCAATCAACATCATCAGAATCAAATGACAAACTGTCACTTCGGTTTCAATTCGAAAGGAAATGGAGGAGAAATCTAATAGGAAAGAATTATAAAGCATGTCATTCTTTTACCACTCCACTAGAATTAAGGTCCTGTGGCCATTTCCAGAGAAAATGAATGCTAATTAACACCAAAATGGCATCACCTCCGTTTGTGTAGACCAGCCTTGATATCTGAAATTGCCAGAGACAAAGTTAATGAGAAGCTGAGAAATTGCAATTGAAAATAAGTATTTTCCATTTTCTGTTTTGGTTTATGTTATGTTTGGTTGCTAGGAAGCTGATGATGAACAAATATTCTCTTACCTAAATATTCAGTTTCATGTTCCTCAAGTTGTTTTGATTCTTTACAAACTGACCCCAAAAGGAGTATGCTGCTTTCTGGGGCTCTAATTGTTGAGTCATCTCTTCTTTTGAATTTTTTCTTTTTAAATTTCATCTTTGTCAATTCTCAGTAATGTAATCTGGGTGAAATGCAGCTTTTGGATCCATAAGATGGGCAAAAAGAGTAAATCAAAAATTCCCAGAGAGAAGCAAGATAGTACAGCTGCTGTAGAAGAGGAAAAACTCTCATCTTCGGCCAAGAAATTGTTGAATCATTGGTTGAGATCAGTTCAGGTTTACCATGCATATTTTGGTTTTAATTTATGTTTCAATTACTAGGCATATTAAGCCTCATCTGATCCTACTTTCTGCAACAGGAACACTTGGAGAGCAATGAGGGTGATCCTGAGCTACTTGTTTACATTCTGTGAGTATCCACTTTTTGTTGTTTTATGTGTTATCTTCAGGACATGAGTTAAAGAATGCATAAACATGAAATGGATGGGGACAGGGAGATCCATTGTTTGACTAGTGTTATACCCATTTTTCCATATTTTCATTCAATTTGAGGTAACATGTCTTGTTAGATCTCCATAGTCGGATTTGTATGAGTTTGAGTATGGGATTCAAGTTTCAACCTTAGTAGCATCTCCAGGTTCACCTAAAACAAACATAACACTTAATTTGTGAGTCATTTATAATTATCTTTTGTTCTTGTGCTCATATGCTATATCTGATGTTAAACATAGCTGTACTCATTTCTGAAACATTTGTGTTGCATCTTGAGAAATTTGAAAGGAAAGAGACGAGAAATCTAAGTTACAAGCAGTAAGATTTACTCTCTTTTTTTTTTCTCCTGTTTTTTAGCTGGCATGTATGTTTGGTGACTTAATGCATTATGTTGTTTGTTTTTTATGGTTTTGGCAGTGTTAGTTATTCATATAGAATGCAGGCTCAGAGATAGAGTTTATAATGATTCTTTGATGTGTTAATAAAATATTAAGCATGTCTTTATTCATAATTTTGTCTTTTGGCAATATAGGTTTTTTCTTAATTGAAAATAGGTCCCTCTGTAGTTGAGGTGTTGGTAGTCAGTTTATGTGACTTCTGATCTCATGAGTTTGATAAGAGTAGAAATTTCCCTGCTTTACTAATGCCGGTTACGAGAAGTTAATCCTATAGACCAAAGAAATACTGTTTGAGGTTTAGCAAGATTTAATTTTGAATCTGGGTTATTTCTACTAAATCCTTTGATTGGCTTTTCAATGCAATTAGTCGTATGGCATACAGTTCATATTCAAATTACATAGGTATTTTATACAAGTATATACATTTGGAATTATATGAACTTGTCTACAAAACAAATATTTGAAGCAGATTTGGGATCCTTTTGGATAAACAAATATACAAACTGAAATTTGGTGCAACCTTAGTGGAGACTTGAGAATAAACTTTGAGTTAAAACTGGTGGGACTAATGTGATATGATGATGAACCGAAATCAGTAATGGAATTTTAATACTGACCTGATATGTAAAGAGCCAAATGTATGTAATAACTTAGGAATGCTGTAGCCATTTGACAACCAAAACAAATAAGCTAATGTTTCGTTAGATGCATCCATGGACCTTGTCTTCTGCTGATTTCATTTACTTTTTGCCTTGCTTTGCATGCCAAATTATTTGATATTTACATCTGATATGCAAGTTAATCACATGATGTATGCATTTTGCAGCTTCAGCAGTAGGACCTTTCTACAAGGAGATCCATTTCTTGGAATTTTCAGGACTCTTGATCTTTTATCTCCTTTGCTGGTTACGTTGATGGTTCGTTTTCTCTATGCAAAGGAGAATTTGCAAGGCATACAAAAACACCACAGCACAATGATGTGCCATGCTCAGTTTTGTTTCGGCGAGGATGGTAAAGTGCCCATGTGAAAAGTTTGACACAACAGGTTCCTTATGCAACAACACATATAAAAGTGAATCAGGAGATGATAATATTGCCGGTCAAAGCCAAAAAGGTGGCAGGCCTCTAATCTCTGTTTTACATTTGTGATGCCACAACTACCGGACGGTCATTCCTAAGGGAAAACCTCCTAGAGATAGTGTGACCACTTGAAGAATACTTAGCTCTTGCAGAATTTTCAAAAAGAACCTTAATTATCTTTCTTGAAATCAATGGTAAATATGCAGGCTCTTTTTGAGCATTTGCAATGCAAGGCAAAGTAAAAATTGATACACAATTTGTATAGGTTAGTATCATATACTTGTGAAGGGGCGGTGACTACATCTTTATATGAAAAAAAAAAAAAAATCATGGTGAAACATTGAGTGGCCTGATCCCTTCTTGGGCGCCTTGTGTTTTTAATCCCAAAGTGAAGAATTAAAAAAGCCAAATAGTTCCTCAAAGAGGCCTTGGTATGCCCTGACCTTGGGATGGGGTAGCCTCCCCTCCCCCTAAACACATGCTAGTTCTCTCACTTCATACACTGCAAGGTGAGTCTTGTTTATGGCAATGAGGTGCAGCTCATTCTCGTGAATTTGGATGTAAGTATATGACAATGATTTCAACTCCTTCCCATCTGGAATCTGCAACAATTTGCTTCTGTGTTTTTCACACCCAGTAGCACCCCACGCAAAATCCGCAGGGACAAAACGACGTTGATCGTTAAATAACAGAAGTCACATTAGAGTAGAAGCCATGTCTGAAAGTAATATTGTAGTTTCCAATGTGCATCAGCACCAGAAGAAACTAGTACATTCAGTGTGTTCGAGAAGGCAAGGCTATTAGTGACCCTTTTGGCGTGGCCCTCAAGCTTCCTTGTAACCCGCAAAATATATAAATCAAGGCAATGACTCTTTCCGGGTTTGATTCATCACAACATTGAGCATTTGTTTTTTTTTTTTTTTTTTTTTTTTTTAGAACGAACAAACTACCTCGTCTGAGTGGAGATTGTATATTACAATGGTGGAATTGTCCATGCCAATGGCAACTATACTGTCATCTCGGGGGTGAAAAGCAAGACATGTTGCCGCAGTGGCGGTGGCATGACTTTCTTCGTCGTCTGCATTTTTACGCAACAGATTTGTATGAGTACAATGAGTTAGATCATGAGAAATTTGCAAACAGAACCTAAGCATATTGACAAACAAGATTTGGGAAGTTTTGGCTGGGAAAAGAAAATTTCAAGAATACTATTTGTGTTGGGTTTACCTTAAACGTTTTCATCATGTCAAAAATGGAGATCATCCCTCCTGTTGCTGATATGAGACATGAATCATTCTTGGAAAAATCAAAGCAGGATATAGAGTCTTCAAGGTTGGTGCTGGGAAGGTCATTGTTCATCGGGTCTAAGCCACTCCTTGGTTTCCGTAAATTAGGGTGAAACTTGGGAGTTGCTTGCATTCAACCAATATCATCAGAATCAAATGACCAACTATCACTCCGATTTCAATTTCGAAAGAAAGAGAGGAGAAATCTAATAGGAAAGAATTATAAAGCATGTCATTCTATACCACTCAACAAGAATTAAGGTCCTGTGGCCATTTACAGAGAAAACGAATGCCATTTGATGCTAACTCCAAAATGGCATCAACTCTAGAGAAAAAAAAACCACCTAGCCTGCATAGGCGCCCGATTTTTCAAAAACTTGAATGGCTTTTTTTTTCTCCTTCAGATTTCTTTTTTCCTGGCGAGTCTAGCATCTCTGCAAATACATTTTTGTCAATTCTCAGTAATGTAATCTGGGTGAAATGCAGCTTTTGGATCCATAAGATGGGCAAGAAGAGTAAATCAAAAACTCCCAGAGAGATGCAAGATAATACAGTTGCTGTAGAAGAGGAAAAACCCTCATATTCGGCCAAGGAATTACTGAATCATTGGTTGAGATTCAGTTCAGGTTTACCATGCATATATTTTGGTTTTAATTTATGTTCCAATTACTAGTCATATGAAGCCCATCTGATCCTACTTTCTGCCACAGGAACACTTGGAGAGCAATGAGGGTGATCTTGAGCTACTTGTTTACATTCCGTGAGTATCCACTTTTGTTGTTTTATGTGTTATCTTCAGGACATGAGCTAAAGAATGCATGAACATGAAACGGATGGGGACAGGGAAATCCATTGGTTGAGTACTTGTACCCATTTTTCCATATTTTCATTCAATTTCAATGCTAACATGTCTTGTTAGATCTCCATAGTCCGATCTGTATGAGTTTGAGTATGGGATTCAACCTTAGTAGCATCTCCAGGTTCACCTAAAACAAACATAACACTTAATTTGTGTGTCATTTATAATTATCCTCATCTGCTATATCTGATGTTAAACATAGCTGTACTCATTTCTGAAACATTTGTGTTGCATCTTGAGAAATTTTATTAAAACCTACCATTCTAAGACCAAGTTAGCTCTGATTAAGTTATATTTTGTTCATTTATTTCTGATAGATTTACATCAGATGTCAAGATCAATAGTTGGTGGTGCTGATGGAACAAGTCCTTCCAAGATGAGGGCGTAAGTTCGAACTTTAATATTTTCTTTCAGCTCCTTCATTTTAGGACCTACCTGATTGGAACAACGAGATTGTCTGTGTTCATGAGTTTATTTCAGTGGCATAGTTCTTGAAGGAGGTATGCATTCATCTGTTAAAGACATATAGAGAAGCATTTTGTATTTGATACAGCACATAGGATTTTAGGACACGGCATGCTTTTGCATGCTTTCAAATTTTCTTTGTGTTTATTTTTTAAAGCAATCTGTATTCTGTTTGTTGGTTGTAGTTGTGGTGCTTGAAGAAACATAGCCCATATTCAGGGACTATGTTAGATGCATTCTCTGTATAATTATTCAAAGCTACATACAACACACCTCACTTAATACTCCTAAGAACAATGATAACTGAATCCCCACGGAGAAACATCTTGCTGATGATAATCTATCCTTCCTTGTTAAGGGGTTGAGCCTTTTTTCTTGCCGTTTCCAGTCTTTGGCACCTGCACTGCACACACACACACACACACACACACACACACACACACAAAAAGAAAAAAAGAAAAAAGAAAAAAAAAGATCACACAAATATCACGAGAAAAAAGAACTTTGATGATTGATGAAGATCTACCAACCAACATAAAAGAAGACAGAACCGAATAGTGGAACAAAACACAAGAGAGAAAAATAAAAGGGGTTTAAGAATGAGGAGTAATCGGGGGCCCATCTTCTTTTTTTTTTTTTTTTTTTTTTTTTTTTTTTCTTTTTCATATAAATGCAATTTTCCTTCTCAAACCCTAACTCTAACAAGAGCCGTCTTCCAGCCCCTCTCTCTCGCTCAGACTTCTTCTTCAATCCTCATCTCTCTGTCTCACCATCGTGATCTCTTCCCTGACCTTGGAGATTCCAAAATGGCGTTTTTTTTTCTATGCGCAGCGCCCGCCTAGACCGCCCGCCTAGACCGCCTAGCCCCCGCCTAGACCGCCTAGACCGCCTAGAGGCCTTCTAGCCCGCCTAGTGACCGCCTAGCCCCAACCTAGCCCGCCTAGCCCCCGCCCAGAACACAGAGATCTTGGCCACCATCTGCATATACCCTCATGTCGCCCGCCTAGACCGCCTAGCGACCCTTGCCCCAGCCTAGCCCGCCTAGCCCCGCCTAGAACGTAGAGATCTTGGCCACCATCTGTATTCTGTGTGTTGGTTGTAGTTGTGGTGCTTGAAGTTGCCCGAAATATTGCAGAGTTAAACCCAGAAACTACCCTTGATAAGCATTAAGTTTAGTTATATCACTACATATTGACTTTTGTAATCTAAGCTCTACGTGGGGTTTCTTATCGTTCATTCATATTCTTTTGATATTTGCACTTGTGGTAGTTTCGAAGACCTTTACAACAGCCGAAACTATGTTGAATGCTCGAACCCTTAGGGAATGGATTTCATCTTCTCTCAGGTTAGTGCAGTGCCAACACTTCTTCAAGTATATGAACAGGATGTTTCAGTCCAGGATTTGCTTGGGTTAATGTAAACAAACGTGAATGAGCTTGGGAGTGGGTGGAATGAATCATATTTGGAATAGCTTAGTAATTTTATAATTGAATAAATTTAGTAATGAAGATGGTATGATGGAGTGAAGGTTATTATGTCTTTGTGGTTAAGCATATACAGTTGAAATATTAATTGAAATACTCTATTTACATAGTATAGCCGGTCGGCTATACTTTGAAAATTTATTGAAATACTCTATTTACAGCGTATAGCCGCGCAGCTATACGTTCGAAATTTCTATTTACCGGTATAGCCGGGCGGCTATACGTTTGAAATTTCTATTTAGAGAGTATCGCCCAGCTGCTATATACTATTGAAAATTTCTATTTATCAAGTATTGCCGCTCGACTATACTATTGAAATATTTTATTTGTAGAGTATAGCCCTACAACTATACTGTTGAAATATTCTATCCTTTAAAGATAATTCCACATTGCACCAACAATAAAAATATGAATTTATATTTGCCGGATTAGACCTCTCCCGAAAAAATTTCTTCGGAAGAGGTTTATTTTAAAAAGAAATAATATACTTAGTATCTTGAAGTCAATAGATTTTTTTTTTGTTAAAAAAAAAACACTTTCTTTTTATTAATTAAATCATATCTTACTTGGCCTTATATAATTACTTTCATTAGTAATTACATTTTAATTATTATTTCTTTAGTGAATAATTAGTATTAATTATTTTAATTAACTTTACAAATTATATTACTTAATAAATAGTATTTAATTTTTTAAAATTTTTTCTTTGATAAAATATTTAAATACTAATTATTCACTAGGTAAATAATAATTAAAACATAACTACTAATTAAAGTAATTAAAGTAGTTAAAGGTGGTCCCAAATACTGAGTTTTGGTACCTCGAATGCATTCCATGCTTGGTTATGTCAAATT